GTTTTGAGGGCCTTCTAGACAATCTGAGTTGATTCGGTTATTTCTAGGAGTGTTAGTTCATCTTTATGTAGTGGTCGGTAGGTACACCTTAATAGGAGTGATTCTTTTTCGAGCTTCAGCTTTATCAACAGCTTTTCTATGTAGTTTTTTATAAGTTGTTCAATATTTGTTAGCGTGTACTTGAGATTATTTTTTACATAAAAAGCTACGCCATCTCCCACCTTTTACGCCACCTCCCGCCTTTCCAGCCTTGTTTCGTGTATGAATGTTATATCCTGCAAAAGTCGTATCTAAAGCCTCATTAAACCAATTGTCAGCAAGTAAAGTAAGATATGGGTGGTTATGTTCGATGGTTTATTATATTTTGGTATTCAGCTCGTCAATTTTTATTTGATTTAGTGAGCATGGATTATTTTCCTAAAAAATAATGGTATTGAAAACATTTACCTTTAAAGAAAATCCCAAACTCAACGTTAAAGGTAAAGGTTGAGTTAACAATTTTCTTTTAACATTAAAGCTTGATGGTTGTACCGGTTTGGATAAAATTGAGGCTGGGCAGTATTGGTTCCTGATGGGGGCGAACTTTCAGCAATGATGTTTGTTGTGATTTGTGATTTTGTGGCAATGGCAATAGCGTCTACAACATTCTTGATGTTGACAAAAACTGATCTTTGTGCATTAATTCACTTCACGCAGTTAAGCATCATCGGATAACAAATCTAAATAGCGTCTATAGCAGCACTAATTACTGATAAATACAACTTTGTACTCCGGTGTAAAGAGACCATGATGTCTGGCTTTTGACACGACCAGGCAATGTGAATCAGAGTTTCTTTAAATGTGATTTGTATGAGCTTGGTTTTTCGGAATTCGTTTTTGGGTTTTTTATATTTGAAACCTCTTACTCTCATGATGAGTTGTTGATACCAATGTCTCTAAATAAATTCTTGTCTGCCTATTTATTTGCGTCATATTTATCTGAGATTTCCAGTCCCACCAATATTAAAATCGATTTATTTTTTAATTCTTTGAAAAGAATTGATTCATCGATTCTTTGTTCACGGTTAGCACGGATCCTTATAATGCCTACCTAGCTATCCCAAGAACGCCACTTATACGGAAAGTTAGCGTGCACATCAAGGTACCCTGTGATGCAAATTTTGAAATCATTTTATTTTTTCCGCAAAAAACAATTTAATTTGAATGTTCAAATTAAGTCAAATTTTGACTTCATAGTGCGCCAAAAAAAACACTTGTAGAACTTGAACTACTCAATATAATTTGATAAAAATTAGTGCAAATGTAGCCAATAGTCACACCAAACTCTGGACAAAATTTCAGCCTGATTGGATGACTCGTGTAGGATTTATTGCAGTTTTAGTTGAAGTTTTGTCACTTTTTTGCAACTTATACCTCAAAGCGTTACCGATTACTTTGCGATTCGGTCACTATTTTGAAAATAACGGTTAAATGAGTGTTCTTTAATGTAATACCAACAATTTTTGTTTAATTATTTTATCAGTACATGTACAGTTTTCATTTTATAGACCAAAATAATGATTTGCTACTTAAAGCGTGATTTGAATTGGCTTATGCCAATGGCGTTGACAAGGCCTTCAAAGTGGAGGGGGTCACTCCTCAATTTCTAAAATAAAATTCATAATTTCTAAATTAATTGCCTATATTTCTAAAACAAAAAGCCTTTGCAAAAATAAAAGTGGGTAGACTATGGCTCCCTCGACGGCCATGTATGCATAGCGTGAATATATCAACATTTCCTAAGGTATAAATTACTGCCAGAATGCAAAAGAATTCTAAAAAAATGGTTAAGAAGGATTTCTAGTGATACCTACATAGAAAATAAAAACATTTATTTATCTGAAAACAGAACAACTGTGAAAAAACCAAATATTTTTTTTTGACAAAGATAATTGACTTAAAAAATTTCGATAAGTTAACTAAGATATCAGACCAATACAATGTTTGGAGGGCCAGTCGGAGGAAAAATACTCTAACTGAATTACTAATTAGGATGAAGGATTGTTTTGAAATAAAACAACCCGTGTGACAAGTATCATTAGTTTAATAAGTGTGACAATAAATAATAATTTAATTTACAAGTAAATAGTTTAAACAATTGTTTCCTGGTATGGAAAGAACTATTCAAGAATTATTCCCTTGTAATTTAATATTACCTCAATTAAATCAAGTAAATATTTCCCTTATTTTAATAGCTTTTAATAAATAATATGTGTTACTATGTTAAGTAAATTGTTATCAAATATAAATTTAGATCAAAAATTGTAAAAGGCAGAGTTTGATATAGTGAAGTCAAATTTAGTGAATTGGCACAATGCCAAATCAATCAAAGATTCATGATGAAAATCGAAAGTTTGCGTGCTTGCTCTGTCTGAAAAAATGTTTAAGACAGCTTACTACTTTTCAAGCAGATCGACTGTCGAAACCAAGATCAACTGTACAAAACCAAGATCAATATCAGTGATACTCGGGTACCAAAGGATTCTCCGAATCGCGTAGAATTACTTTGCACAGGAAACAAGAGGGAAAATAAGTTGCACTCCGTCCTTTGTTTAATTTTAAGTCAATACAAGTGAGACCTGAAGCAAGAGGCAAGATGTATTGTTGCCTAATATGCCAAATTGGTTGTTCAAAACTGCAAGAAAAACATCCTTTTATAGAGCAAACCACTATTAAGAAAAAACCAAAAGTGCGTTGCAGCAAATACCTCAGCCCTTTAGGAAAAGGTTCGCCCCACCAATTCTCTCAAATAATGTTAAGGGATTAGATTTCAAAAAGTATACTTTTGACAATTTTCTAATTTCTTTAAAAACGAATAGTTTGAAAGTTTAACACAAACTTACTAAACAAAGTTTATTGTAACTATAAAATATGCATGTTTTCGTTTTAGGTTAAAGTAGTGCGCAGACACCATCAAGGGCTTCGAAATTGACCACTGTAGCCCTTGGAAATGTGCAATTAAATACAGGTCTGTCAAACAACGGATTAAAGAAACTTGTTAGAACTGTAAACAAAACATCAAGCAAGATGGTAGAGCAAAATTTCTACATGAATTTTCTAAGACTAGGTCAACAATTGAGCGATTTCTTCACCTGCAGCGACTTTAAAATCACAGACAAAAAAACAGATTCTTGTACAGTTCATATTGTTGCTCACTGCAATGATTTATCAAGTATTGTGAATCATGTTATTTAGTCCCGCAAAATTTCTGGTGGTTATTTTGTTAAGCTTGGAATTGATGATGGCAAAGATTTTCTCAAGTTTTTCCTAAGCATTGTTGATACTGCGTTAAGGGATGAAACCAGCTCACTGCACCAACAACAACTCTCACTCAAAGGACTGGTAAAGACACTGGAGTCAAGAGATAAATTATTGTTGGGGTTTCAGAAGATTTTCCAGAAACATACTCCGATATTGAACAAATATGGTCACTGATTAATACGAGTGGAGTTAAACTAATTTTGGCTTGTGATATGAAAGTTGCAAATATAATTTGTGGCCTTCAAACTCTTTTAAGTATGCACCCTTGCGATTGCGATGTGACGTCAAATCCAATTGTCTTGCCAAATCTGGAAATTTGCGAACACTGGGCTCAATTAATTTTAACCTTGAGTCTTTTCAGCAATCTGGCGGGGTTATTGCTAATACAAAGCTGTTTGGCAATGTCATTCGAAAGCCAAACATCTGTGGGCCTGTCAACGTTCTCATTTTCGAAATCATTCCACCGATGGAATTGCATCTCCTCTCAGGAATTGTCGACCATCTTTTCAAGATCCTTAAAAAGCATTCAAAAGCTTCAATTTAGTTGTCAAGGCTTGCTTTATATACATCCTTCACCCGGATTTCACAGAAAAAATTGAAAACTTCAAAAAGTGTTACCTAATGTTAACTGGTGCAAGCGTAACATCCAAAATTCACGCCGTCTTCTACCACATCAAGGATTTCGTCACAAAGATCCCCCTTGGGGCCCTATAGTGAACAAACTGTCTAAACTTCTCATCAAGATTTTTATTAACATTGGTCAAGGTGTAAGCGAAATAATAATCATCCAAAGTACAAAGAAAAATTGTTGCGCTGCATAATTGATCTAAAGAGTAAGCATCTTTAAAGAACATCATTTGAAATTAGCCTGCTGAAATTCATATTTTACGGCGTATAATGAATATTTTCACCATCTTTTAAAGTAATATTATATAAAATTTGTAATAAAAGAGTACATTGAGCTATTTATTAATAATCATTTGGTGAAGAAAATCAAAAAAACCTTTTTCCAAAAAAATCTTTTTTTTTTTATTATTTCAATTAAAATGTCTAATGTTGAAAACCTCTCCACTTACGAGAGTACAACAAGCGAAAAAATAAAATTATTTTAAAGCACTATACTTTAGCTTTAACTAAAATTACATTGTAATTATTAAGAATTTTGTATTTTTTATAGGTTTACCCATAGTTCTTCATTTCCCTCTAGGACAATGATTTTTTTATGTAACTTACACAGTCTCTGTCATTTGTCTTAAATAAATAAAGTAAAAAACAAATTCTGGTATTACGGCCGGAAATATTGTAATTCCGGCCCAAATTCCGGTACATCCCTACTTATTAGTATTAATTGTAATACTTAGCGCTAAAAGTATTCTCAATCTACTTTGCTGAAAGCATTCAATTTACTTTGCTGGAAGCATTCAATTTACTTTGCTGAAAACATTCAATCTATTTTGCTAAAAGCATTCAATTTACTTTGATCAACGAATCAAAAGTCAAAATAAGCATTGACGATATCGACATATAACTCTTTAAAGTAAACATTTAGATGATCAAAAAACGTTTTTCAAATTTAGCTAAACATGAACACATTTTCAAAAAACTAGGTTAGTTATATCAAAAGTTTACGTTAACAAAACTTATGTTAATAAATGTTAAAAGCAATCAAAATGATTTTGTTTAATGATAAATGATAAATATTTTACTTCTTTACATTTATGTGTTTGATAAATATTATAATGTATCATACAACAACAATATAATGATCAAGGCTAATTTACAATAATATCTTTCTCATTAATATAATAAAAACATCCATACCATCTAAAATTTTGACTGTAAACTCTACATCGTTCGGTTTAACTTTATCAAAAACTTGATAGCCTTGCTTTTCATACCAAGGAAACAAATCCACGCGTAAACTAACTACTTCAATTTCCATAACTACACCGAATTGTGGATTGTTGTTGATAATATTAACGGAACTTGACATTTGATGCTGGATTGCTTTAAAAACATTTTCAAGTAAGTAATTTTCAGCAGAAGCAATTAATGTTTTACCAATGCCACGTTTGCTATATTTTGATGGTACAGAAACAGCCGAAAATGTTCCAACCAGGGTAACCTAAAACAAAATCATTATAATTCATGATGTTAAATCATGTAAGTGAAATCTTGGTGAAAACAAGAAAAACTGGAAAAACTGGAAACTGGAACCGAAAAGTGAGCAGTCAGTATAAGCTCAAGTTAGTTTTGGATTTTTGAATGAACAACAGAATTTTTGTAAAATTACTGAGTGGTTTATATAATTTACAATAACAATCAATAACATACATGAGAGTACTAATAACATAAATACCAACCTTAGGAATAGAACTGTTATCGACAACAACCCAATCTGTCTTAGTAATCCAGTGTAAATATATGCTGCCAATGACTTCGTTATTAGAGTTTTCGTTTGTCATACTATCGCGTGCAAGAATAAAAACTGAATCTTTATGAGACATTTTAGATATAACGTTTTCCCTTGTGAATCGATAATGATATTCTGGCTTTTTGTAGAAAGCATCCGCCTAAGTGATCACAAAAAATTAAAAAACAATAAAAAACTAGATCATAAAAAAAAAAAAAAAAAAAAAAAACTAGATTACAAAAAAAAAAAAAAAAAAAATAGATCATAAAAAAATAAAAAAACTAGACCACAAAAAAATAAAAATAAATAGTTAAAAAATTATAAATCAAAATTTGTAAATAAACTTTAAAATTAATTTAGTATACATTTAATATTAATTACCATAAATGCATCGTTTGTGCACATCAATATATTGTCAATATCATTTTGTGTCGCAATAACTGTTTGAACCATTGTAAATCTTTATATAAAACCTGTTATTTATTATTTAGATTATAGTTATATTCCCTTTATAGTAAAATGTTATGTATCTATCTAGCTTTGCAGCTTTGTAACTATGTAGCTATGCAACTGTGAAGCTATGCAGCTTTGTGTACTTATAAAAAATTATAAAAAAGCTTAGTTGGAGGTAAACGGACAGTGTGATTTTCAAATAATCAGAATGCACATTCTACCTAAAGTATTAACAAGTTTCAATTAAGCAAAAAGTTATTTCAACTGTTTATTGTTAATAACCCTATGAAAGTATAGTTTTTACAAAAAAATATTTTGTTTGAAAATAAAAAAGTTTACAAAGTAAATGTATATTCATAAATTTATATTCAAATAAAGAAATATATCTTAAAAACTAGAAGCCAACAGCATTATACACATAAGCTTATAAAAAAAACATATGTTATGCAAACTTACGTTGATATACTTACTTAGATGTAAAAAATAGTTTAAAATACTTATGTTTTAAATTAACTTTTACAAATAAAATGTAAAAAAGTTTCGTACAGGAAAAGATTGTTTACTTTAATTAATTTTAGTCATTTTTTTTGGTCTAGTAAGTTGTCTTTAGGTTTGTTATTAAATATCTTAGAATTATATTTTATTTGACTCTTTGTCAAAATCTTTACTTGCGTTAAATAACTTTCATCATGTTGCACAGTGTGTAATTTAAACAATCACCAGAAAATTGCTCGATGTAGAAACTATGTTTTTAAAACCAGTGCTTTTTCTTTTCGGTTTTTATTATTTACAAAAAAAAACAAGGCTTTAAACTATGCCAATAAACCTTTTTGTCAAGGTAAGCAGCTGAAGCAACCCAACCAGCATATTCAACCTAATTTTAAACTCGTATAGACACATGTTTATCGCAATCCAGGCGTAAACGAAAGTAATTGTAGACGCGTTGATTTCACGGTCAGTTTTCCTTGAGTTTAACACGTGTTTTATAAGTTTTTTAAAATCAACTTTAAAATGTGGCGTACTTTTATTACTGGTTTCACATTCGTTACAGAAACTTTGTATAATATTGTTCTACGTTTCCGTAACGGTGAAACCATAAATAAAAACTTAATACCTAGTTTGGTGTTTTGGTAAACAGTTCAAGTTAATATTACGAAATTGAAAACCAATAAACGTGCTAATTTTTTTATTTTCATTTTTATTTTAATTTTCAGGGTTTTAAACATGCAACAGAAACCACAAGTAACTTTTTACGGAGTAGGGCTTTTTGCAAATTACATATATATATATATATATATATATATATATATATATATATATATATATATATATATATATATATATATGATTATTTTTCTACATATTCATTCTATATATAAACTAAGTTATTTAAACTTAACAAAGTTATTCGATTATATGTAAAACTAATGATTAAATATTGTATGAAAATATATGATTAAATATTGAAAAATAAATATTGCATAGTCATTAAGCTAGAATATGCTTACAAAGTTCGAAGAAAATCTATGATTAGGAAATGATTCAAAAATTGATTGTAAAATTTTAGGTTAATACAGACAAAGACTAAAAATAGTGAATCCAATTCCAGTAATACCAATACCAGTATAACTGGACTTTTTCTAGAACCGAAATACTGGTATTGGGTGGCTCAATACTGGTACTTTGGTATTGGATATGTGGAAAATATTTGAAACTTTTTTCCAATTTGGCTTTAAAATATAAAAAAATAAGAAATTGATTGTTTAACTAAAAACAAAATAAACGTTTTATAGCTAAATTGACAATGGCGGAATATTTAATCGTTTTGCTTGACTGTTAAATAAATTTAAATAAAAAATAAATAAATGTCGGATTAAAACTTGTGTTAAAGTAGAAATGAATTTCGGATTAAAAGTTGCGTAGTTATTACATTACCAACTCAGCGTAGTTAAGGAGAGATCCGAAGAAAAATATAGCGTTTAGGCCCTTTCGCTTTCAAAAATGTCGTTATATATTTGCGCGTTTTGATTGGTTTATTTTTAAAAAAAGTTACGAAACACGTTTTATATTGTTTAAAAATATTCGGTGATTTTATTATCTACGATTTTGAAGTTTTAGCTTAATACTATGGGGCAGAAGTTACGTAAAAGCTGAAACGTTTTTGTTTAGTAATTTATTCAAACGACTATAAAGAGATTATGGTAGTAAATTGCTTTGAGTGGAAACTAATGTGAAAATTTTGATTTTAACTTTTTTAATGTTTACGGAAAGATAACTTAAGAGGTTTTTAGTTATTTATTGAAGATTTTAATGCTATAAACATAAAGTCTTTTTACTTTCGAATAAAAGAGGAATGTAAACACTTGACACATTTGTTTCAGCTGTTTTTATGACGCTGCCCCTCGCATTTTATATATTTTAGTGGTAGTTTTGTTTTGCTTGATGCTTTAGTTAAAAAAAAAATTATAAAAAATTAATAAATTATATAAGAAAAGCTTAAATTCTACTTTTTAAAAACATATAATAGTAATAGTCGAAAATAAGCGGAAAGCATAAAAAATTGAAGTTTAAAAATGTAAATTTTTGTTTTTAAGAAATGCAAATCTCTCCTTAACTACGCTGAGATGGAGGTTACAATATATATATATATATATATATATATATATATATATATATATATATATTGTAAGGTATTTTGCAAAAGTAACCTTATTTTTTTGCAATTGAAGTTATATTTCCAGGTCACGTGCAATAAATTTCATTTTAGACTTTGTTTTGAAGTAAAGTGAAGTTTTGGACCCTGCTGTTTTTTCTCCGGTATAACGACTGTATATATATATATATATATATATATATATATATAAATATATATATATATATATATATATATATATATATATATATATATATATATATATATATATATATATATATATATATATATATATATATATATATATATATATATATATATATATATATATATATATATATATATATATATATATATATATATATATATATACTGTGTTCGTTTTTTTTATTAATTCATAAACTAAATAATTAATTTTTAACAACTTTGAAGCATTTCAACCTTTTTCAGTTACATTAAAGCCCTGTTTTATGATATGCTAGCCTTTTTTTTTTTATACTTTCGCGCAATCTTTCATTGTTTTTTTCTTTTCTTGGATTTTTTTGTAACTTGTTGTAATGGATCAAATGTCGCTTTTTTTAGTAATAAACATTAACCGAATCATCTGCGGGTATTATGAAAAAAAAGGAATTGAAACTTTCAATCTAAGTCTTGATAATACAGAGTAGTGTTTGGCTTATGTCTTTTAGTCAGTTTCGATTGTTTAAAAACTTGTTTTTTCGGGGAGGTAACAACTTTTTTGTTAAAGAAGAGAGGCATAATTCCATCAAACTTTAAATATACATAAATCAATAATTTGATTCAAATTCAAATACAAAAGATGGTTCTGTAGTTTATAAAGCTAGAAAATCAAAAAAGTGATATATATACATATATATATATATATATATATATATATATATATATATATATATATATATATATATATATATATATATATATATATATATATATATATATATATATATATATATATATATATATATATATATAAACGCGCATATAAGAATGAATAAACACACAAATAAGATTGAATAAATACGCATATAAGAATGAATAAATACACATATAAAAATAAATAAATACGCATATAAAAATGAATAAACACGCATATAAAATTGAATAGACGCGCATATAGGAATAAATAACCCTGTAAAATCGGAGAAAAGAATTCGAAATATGATTGTCAAATACACAAACACAATCATTTTAATATATTTCAAAAAGTGTTGATGCAGATTATGCTAAAATACAGCAAAGATATTGTGAGTACTACTACTGATGGAGCTTTCGTAATGCAGAAAGTGGGACGTTCAAGTAGTTTTAGTCAACAGTTTTGCATTGTGCGTGGCATATAAATGGGTAAATGCATTAGATTTTGTACAACAAACCTTCAACTTTTGCCAAGAAAAGCAATTATAAGAATAGTAGTAAAAAATAAAAACAACGAAAAATATTATATATATGATTAATATTATAGAAATAACAACGACAATAACGTAAAGACAACAAAAATTTACTGAGAACAACGTAAAGATAACAAATATATACTGAATAAATTGGTGAGTTGAAAAACTTTATAAGAATGTTCAATGATTCAATAAAGCAACATCGGGCGTCTAGTATGCATTCTATCAATTCTAATTTATAATTAATAATTAATAAAATAATTATTGCACATAATAATTTACCTATAATCAGTATGTAAACTCAAAATATTTTAAATAACGAACAAAACTGCTGTAAACATATTTACTTTAATATTTACTAGCAGAGCCGACAACACCGGGGAGGGTGGGGACCAGGGGCACGTGCCCACCTCCCTCATTTTTTTTCTAAAGGACCTTTATTTAACGAAAATTCTAAATATACTTTTTTTAAAATTGGCAATTGTGCCCCTCCTTTTTGAAATCCTTGTCGTAGGTCCTGACTAGTCAGTCAATATAAAATAAAATATAAGTGTAATAAAAGTATAATAATTGTAAATAATATAAGTGTCATCAATAGTGAACTTTGTTTAGCTTTGTGCTATGCGACGACACTGGAAAGGGTGGGGACCGGGGAGGCAGTAAAATCATGATCCAGAAGAGATTGCTGAATTACTAAATATAAAAATTTTTTTATCAAAGAAAATGAAAAGTTAAATCAAGAATTAATGATATCACTATTAATTTATTTCCTTAAGATACTCATTATGAAGATTTGAAAAGCTAAACAATCTTGTTCAAAACAAAACTAAACGGAATCGACAAGTTACATCCACCATTTTGAAAAACTGTGCCACTGCTTTTGCTTTTTCTCCACACTAATTTTCATGGAGTCAATAGAAAAAAAGTCAACTACCAAACCAATTTAATTCATTTCATTATATAAAAATAACTTATTCTGGAAATTACAGACCTATATCACCTCCTTGTATTATTATTAAAATATTTCAAGGCATAATAAAAAAAAAAGTTTCAAAAATATCTTTATAAAAATAACCTTATAACTAATCAACCAAATGGTTTAATTAAAAATAGGCCTATAGGCTAAATTTATTTTAAACTCTGAATTATATTACAAGTAATATTGATCAAGGGATTCCAGTAGATGATGTTTTACTTGATTTTACAAAAAATTTTGATACCATTCCATATCAAAGACTTACTTCAAAACTTAAAGCATGTGGAGTTAGTGGTTTGTTTATTTATTTTATTTTTATTTTTATTTTTTTTGAGCTTTCATACCTAATAGAAAGTAAAGAGTAGTTGTAAAAGATTATATTCAACTTGCATATATGTTTACAGTGGAGTTTCTAAAGTCTCAGTTTTGGCCCTATTATTTTTTATACTTTATATAAATGATCTTCCTGAATCTTTAAAAAGTATTTCAAAATATATAATTTTAAGATGATAAAAGTCATGTTAATTAGTTCTACTGATTAGTAACATTACAAACTGCAATGTGGTTTAAACTGTGAAAATACATAAACAACACGAATAATTACTAAGTTTTAATATTGTCAAATGTTTAATTGAAATGAGATATCCAATTTATATATATGGTTGTAAACTCAAAATATCAGATTCAGAAAGGAAACAAGGAGTAATTTTTTAGATAAGTTGTATGTTGGACACTTTGAAGAAAGTTTTGGCTCAATTTGATACAAAACTGCTCAATTTACTATATGCGTATATTATTTAACCACTTATTGAGTTTTCTCTTGTGTATGGGCTCCTTATAAAAAACAAGATTTTTAAAAGAGTACAGCGCGGCGTCAATGAGTTATTACCTTCAATCAGTAGGTTATACTATTAAAATCAACTTGCTTACTTTTGAATACCCTCACTTGTCAAAAGAAGAAAACGAGGTAATTTGATGCAGTTTTCAATAATTATGAAAAATTTGAATACGACTAAAATTATGCCTTTAAATTGAGTTGTAGTAATAGCTATTTGTTAAAATATTCAAAGAAATTTTCAGTCAATAATTAATTAGTAAATATTTTACTAAATTGAGTTACAAACTGTTGGAATGCACTGCCTGAAAATATTCTCAAAGTCTGTTTAGTTAATTCATTCAAATCAAGTTTGATAGACGAAAGTGAAACCATTACGAGCTTTAGATTTAAAAGTGCACTGAGAAACATACTCACTGGTAACAATACCAGTCACAGCATAAACAAACTCTTAATACTAAAATATGAAAATTTAGTTAATTTAGCATTATAACGGATTACAAAATATTAATAATTATAACAGAGCTTTGACTTAAGATAATCGGTTTTTATAAAATTCATCTTGGTTGAGGAAAAAAGCAATATTTCTTTATGATTTTCATATAAACCATCTTTTTAAAGTTCGTATATCTATTACTATAAAGATATTTACTATGCGAGTTGATCAAACCCTTGTTTTAATGATATATATTATACTTATAACGTATTAGTATAAGATTCATATTTTTATTTTAGATGCCCCAAGCAGACCTAACCGTCTTGTCACAGAGCACTGCAGAAGAGCATTTAATTAGAAAGTTCACGCTTCTTTTCTTACCGATGGCGCGAAATATACTCAAAGCTCGTTTTAAACCCTTGTTATTTAGGTTTCTAGAACAAACTTTTTAAGCACTGCGCCACAGCTGCCCAAATGCTTTTACGTCAAATGATTAGAACATAATTGATGTAAAGTAGCTATAGTTTTATTTTGTTTTCTAAAACTTTACTCAAGGTTTTAATATAACATTTTTGCTTATTTTATGCAGATATGTTAGAAAGGATATCAACAGAACTTATTCAAACAAAAACGTTGTAGTCAGTGCCGGATTAAGGGGAGGGGGCTAGGGGGAGCTGTAGCCCCGGACCCCGCAAGTTTAGGGGCCCGGGGGTATAAAAATTTAAAAAATTTAACTTCCTGGTTAAGAGGCAACTACCGTCTAAATTTTTCTTAAATTAAATTTTTTAAACTAATATAGTTCAAAACTTTATGGAGATTTCTAATCTGTAAAAATAGGAACATGTTTCTTAATAATTAATTTTTGCCTAACATTTGTTATTCTGAGCATAAGTAAGGAAAAGTGTTCATAGCAACAGGGAAAATGTTATTTTTGTGTGCTTTTTTAGAATTACTGTTTCAAATACAGATTAAGATTTATATCCTATTTTCTACCTAATATTCTGTTTTCTGTTATATGCAGACATAAATATAATATTCTAAACACGATTTTATGAAGTTATCAAAACTTATTTGTAGACTGAGGCAATTGTACGAAATGAAAGGGAAGGGGGGGAAAGGTGGTGAATCCTTAAAAAGTACCGATTGGCTCATAAAAAAATAAGGTTCTTAAAACTAAAGTTCACCAGACTGAAATGTATCAAATGCCCGACTTGCCGACTATGTTCCTCAAAAAACCGACTATAACTTAAAAAACAGCTTCTTTTTAAAAGTGTTTTATTCCCTAAAGAAGGTGATTTTTAAAATTACATATATATATATATATATATATATATATATATATATATATTAAGAAAATATATTTACTTGCAATGATTAAAAAATAAGTCAATTAAGACTAACATAAGTAAATTTAATTTATGTTAAAGGCGGATTTCCATAAGACGAAAATATTCGCGCGAAGCAAATTTTTTCGTCTTATGGAAATTTGCCTTAAGTAATGCAAAAAATAAACTTTTTTAAACGTTGTTTTGTAAACCACAAAATAAAAACATAGCGACTCAAAAAAACACTGTAGTGTAGGAATAAAAAATCCTTTAATTACAAAAACCCTGGTTTTTGTGTTTTTAAAAAAACCCTGTACAGAGGGAACACTTCATTGAAATAGGTGCCCAAAATATAGCTGTTGTATTTATGTGGATATTTAAGCTTTAAAATAGAGATTTAAGATTAATTTTGTGTGTGTGTGTTTAACTAGAAAATGGGGAGGAGAGACATAATATGTTTAAAAGAGTTAAGCATAAACATAACATGATTTAAATTCTTTAAACATGTTATGTTTATGCTTAACTCAAAAACATAATGTTTTAGCAAAAAAATTGCTATTAAATAAACCTTTGTGGTATTCTTTTATCCAAACTCCTATAATTTGAGCCAAATCACTGCTATTTTTAATTTTTTTAATTTTTTTTATATTTATTAAATTTATATAGTATGCAAACAAATATAAAATTATACATTATACAGATTATATAGTTTATAACTTTATTCTTCTACATCTATATCTAATTCTAGATTTTCGTCAACGTTGTCAACATTTTATCTAACTCATTAGTTTCATCTGATTTTATATCAGATGAATTTTCTCTATCATCGCTATAAACTGCTAACAATCTTTTAACTTTTTCTAATTGACACAACATTTTCTTATTTTTCAATCTTTTAGTTAATGTAATTGAATTAATTCAGGGATCAGAAGTAAGTGCACCTGGCATATAATTGTCAAATAAGCCTTTGTTTTAGTAACTTTAATGGACGTTTTTAAAGGTGAGCACTTGTTTTTTATTTTGGAATTTGCTTGTAAAATGGAAATCTGCATGGTGCTTCTTTATGAGTATTTTCAAAAACAATTTTTGAAAATTTGTTTTCTCTTCAAGAACAACACGAAAACAAATTTACTTTCATACTTTAAAGTAGTTTTTAGTTTTATAATGAATGAAAAAAAAAATTGTTCTTGTTTAAAGAAATTTTTTATTAGTTTAAAAAAGCATCAATTTTTCAAAACTATTTAGTGCTAAAGATCGCCAATGATCGCAGCTACCCTTCTCAGGGTAATTAATAGACGCTATAGACAATAAAAATATCAAAATATAAAAAAAAGGTATGAGTTGGAACAATTTTTTAATTATTCACCAAAGTTGAAATTTAGTACTTTTGTTATGAATATTTTACTTTCAATACATAAAAAATGTGGGACCAACTTTTGAGGAAACGGCGTATATTATAACCTTTTTAATGATGTATATATATTGTCAATTTTTCAATGATCTATATATTAAAGAAATAAAAATAATAACTAAAAACCTGCATCTTACGAGTTTTTATCAAAAATACATAAATAAGTGAGGGTCTTTGTAACAAAAACCACTATCAGACATTATGTTTGAAGTAACCACTTCTTTGATTTTTGGCCATGTGATTTCCCACTGTGCTCTGGTTTTCGGTCATGTGATTTTCCATTATGCTCTGGTTTTAATTAGTTCTCAAACCGCTTAATTTAAAAACAATCTTTACAAAACCCCTTTAAACTATTTTTTTAAATTTATACATTATGAAAACTTCTTAAATTTTTTTAGCAATGAAACAACAAAAAAAAGATCTATGATATCCACTTTAAAACTGGCCAAACAAGAAATAGAAGCAGACTTGAGCGATGAACGAAATATTATAATTGTCATAGTTGATGAAGACTTAGACGAGTCAGCATTTGAGTTTTTAAAAAGTACGCGAGTTTCAACGCTTAACATTGGTGTATATATTTTATGCGTTAGTCAAAATATTTCAAAGTTTCAATTCCGTAAAGAAGTTGGCTTCCAATGGGTTTATGTAAATTCAACATCTGTAATAAAAAATCTTTCTTTTCTCCGAGGTAAAGTTTCAAAAACATTTTTAAAGTGAATTTCTTTTTTAAATATTTGAATTTCTATGTTTTATTTTAAACACGGTTAGCGTTTAAAAACGACTGGTTTTTGAAAATATTTTGTCTAACATTAAAGTTTAGTTTATTCAAAAAGTTATATTGCTAGAAACAAGACTTAGCCATTTTAAGTCTTTCTTTAGATTTAACTGAGAAACAATAAAAAATTGCAGACATCTACATTAAAGCTTTCAAAATACATTATTTTGTTTCATGTTGTTTTAATATATTGCCAAAAATACATTGTATTACGATGACATAATACAACGACCCATTTTGCAATCAATTTTATTATTATTTATATATTTTTTTTAATTTATATGTATATATTTTGCTGTTTAAATATTGCAACAATACCAAAATGTATAAATATTTACATGGCCGGGGTAAAAAGAAGACAAAAATAGCCTTATTATTATTATTATAGTTGTAGCCGTAAATTTACATAGAATGTACACATACAGCGAGCAGGGAAAACACCCCACTATAAACAACCAGTTTTATAAATATTTGTTCCAAACTTATTTCACAACCAGGAGTCTAGTCTACTTTTGAAGGAAAGTACAGTGGAGTACAAAGTTATTTGCTCTGGTAGTTCGTTCCAGTATTTTGCTGATCTATTATACAAATGATTATATCTTGGAAGACAGTTTGGAACATACTCGCGCCTTATTTTAGAATGGTGACCACGAGACATGGAGTTAATATATTTTGGTACATATTTATCATTAACTAAATCAAAACGATGTATTAATTTAAAAATTTGGATTAAATCGCATCGAAGGCGTCGAAACTCAAGTGATGGTAGATTTAATCTTTTTAGCCTTTTGCAGTATTGAAGATGCCTCAAGCTGTAAGCCCATTTTGTTGCTTTGCGTTGAACAGATTTAACCAAAGCCATATCAGCTTTTAAATAAGAAGCCCAAATGAACACTCCATATTCAAGATGTGGTCTTATAAATACTTTATATAATTTGAGAGCCATTTTTTCATCAATGAAAGTCAATGTCTTTTTCAGCATACCAAGAATTTGTAAGGACTTAGAGACAACTGTTTGAATATGAGCGCTCCACTTGATGTTAGATGTAAAAATGACTCCTAAATCACGTTCTTTAGTAGAGCTTCTTAGACATTGGTTGATTTCTTGGTTATTTTGCAGAAAGTAATTGTAATGGGGGTTGTTTCGACCGTAATGAATGACGCAGTATTTTGAGGTGTTTAACTTAAGTAACCAAGTGTTTGACCATTCGTATACCAAGCGTAAACGATCCTGCAGATCAACAAAATTAGATTGCGATAAGGTTTTAGAAAAAAGTTTAGTATCATTGGCAAATATCTTAGAAGTTTCAGTGAGTTTTGCAAGATCATTCGTGTTGAGAATGAAGAGGAGCGGGCCGAAAACAAAACCTTGAGGAACACCACTGAGAACATCAACCCACGCAGAGTTGGTATTGTTAATTGTAACGCGTTGCTTTTTGCCCACTAAAAAGGATTTAATCCATTGTAGGAGTTTGCCGTTTATTCCGTTTATCACTAAGCCCCGTAGTTTACATCGTATTTTTAAATTATAAGCAGTTGTTTTTTTAAGTTAAATATTTTATAATACCGTTAAAAATTGAAATATACTTTTGTTTAATTAACAAAAGCCAAAAAATAAAATTTAAAAATAAATAAATAAATAAAAATATGACACAATTCAACAAAAGACAGTAAAAAAAAAAAAAAAAATCTCAACGTATACAATAAACAAAACTAAACAAAATTAAATATAAAAGCTAATTTGAAATAAAGTTATAAAAAGAACTATTTATTAAAGTATATATTTATTAAATTATATTGATTGTTAATCAATAATTATTAATAGGATTAAGAGTTATTTTTTACACTGATTAAGTTAATAATAATAAGAGCAGAAAAAGCAAACCAGGTGGCTTGTTCGCATTAGGGAAATTAAAAAGATGAATAATAAAATATATATATATATAAAATAAAAACCAGAAAATAATAAAATAGAAAATAAAGTTAAGTTAAAAGAAAGTAAGAAAAATAAATAAATAAAAAATAAAAATTTTTGGAAATAACTTAATTCATTGTCAATTGTAAGATGTTTTTGTTTAAGTTTTATTTTAATTGTGAAAAAATTCAATTTAGAATTCCATAACTTGGGTCCTCTATTTGTAATCGAGAATTTGGTGACCGTATAATAGGTTTTGGGTTAAATGTAGTTTTGATTTGAAAATCTAGTAGAGTAAACAGGATTTATTTTGTTAAAAAAGGTATTAAATATTAGAGGTGTCATTTTATTATCAAATTTGTACATAAAAATAAGTAACTGATAAATGTTTAGTTGATAAACATTGAGTATATTTAGTTTATTAAATAAACCTTTAGAGGGCCTTAAACTGTTTACGTTTGAAATAATTCGTATAGAATGTTTTTGTGTACTGAGTAGTTTTTTTATCTTGGTTGCGTTGGTACTGCACCAAGCAATATTTCCATAATTAATGTAGCTGAGGATAAAAGAAATGTATATGTTTTTTAAAAAGCTTTGGTTTAAAAGCCTTTTAGCTTTATATAATAGGCCGATGTTTTTTGATATCTTGTTTTCTATTATACTTATGTGGTCATGCCATGAAAGATTTTCGTCTAGAAACACTCCTAAGAACGCCCACGAGTGCTCTCTTTTTATATTAAAATTATCAATACAAAGATAGGGAAGTTTCAATCAAATAATTTTTTCATGGAGTCTATGAAAAAGAGTGTATTTGATTTTACTTATATTTAAGGATAGTTTATTTGACTTGAACCATTCCGTTAAATTTGTGAGTTCCTTATTGACTGTTTCAAATAAGGAGTCGATGTTACTATTCGAGTAAAACAAGTTTGTGTCATCGGCGAATAAAATTGAAGTTATAATATTAGAAAACCTATGTAGGTCGTTTATATAAACAAGAAAGAGTAGTGGTCCAAGTATTGATCCTTGAGGAACATCGCATGTGACAGTCATATATTTTGATTTTCCTTCGTTATACGATATATATTGTTTTCCATTTGTTAAGTAACTTTTAAACCATATTGTTTTAGTTTAGTTAAAAGAATATATGATCAACTGTGTCAAACGCTTTGCTGAGATCTATGAAAACTCCTACAGTATATTTTTTTTATCAAACGCTTTAAGTATGTCATGAATAAGGTGAATAATGGCATGGTCAGTAGAATGTCTTGACTTAAATCCGAATTGTTTGTTGTAAAAAATAGTATTATTATTTAGAAAGGAATAAAGTCTATCGTACATAATTCTTTCTAGTATTTTTGAGAAACAAGGAAGAATTGAGATTGGTCTATAGTTTGCAACGTTTGAAACGTCACCAGATTTGAAAATTGGTACAACTTTTTCAATTTTAAGTTTTTCAAAACAAACGCCTTGTTTTAAAGATAAATTAAAAATGTACAATAGTGGAATAGTTATGTATTTTAGTGATTTTATAATGACGCGACTATTGATATCATCATATCCTAAACTTTTTTTAGGTTTTAACAAAAACATTGCATCCAACAGTTCTCTTTCCGTAAGTTCATCATTGTCCATTACATTAGTATTATTAGGATTTAAAAAAGATTCAAATTTAACGTTTGGGGTTTTTTATTTTTGATGCTAAGTTAGAACCTACATTACAAAATACTAATTAAATTGTTTAGCAATTAAAAATTTATCTGTAATAAGTTCTTTATTTCATTTAAGATTGATAACTATGGTAGAAGAATTACTGAAATTTATATTGTAAAGTACTTTATTGGCAAATACGTACACAAATCAATTAAAGTGTTATTACAAGAAAAAAATTAAACAAAATGGCCAGTATTACTCCATAACTTTGGGACAATTGTGGCAGCCTGGTCAGCATTACCCCAATTTTTTTGTCGAATACGAATAATGAAAACAAGAATAATAATTATTAAAAATTTTATAAAAGTTTTATAAGAGTTTAACATAATAAGTTTATGATTTTAAAAATTAATAAAAATAAGTAGTACAATATTACTATTAAGTACATAAGTCACAAATCTAAATATTGTTTTTATGGATGAGATCTGTGTCTTTGTGGGCCCAGTCACCACATGCAGCACAGATTACCCACTACTCTCGGTTTTTACCAAATTCTCTACAAACCAAACAAATATATCTGAAGACTTTTCTATTTTCTAAACATTTTATACGGCCATGATTGCCCTGTATAAAATGGTCATAACCCCAAAATGAACCAATTTTTATTAACATAAATAAAAAACATATTTGCAAATAAGAAGATACTTACACTATATATATTTAAAAACTAGAATAATTATATTTCTCATTATTGATGTTATTTAGTCAACGACTTTGACATACATATACTTAATAGCACAATATATATTTTTCTTTCTAATACTTAAATGACAGCTAACAACATAAGACAACTAGTTCCACTTATGTACGAAGAATCAAGAACTGGGACCAATTATTAGTTCTTCTAATAGAACATAGGTACCACCAGTACAGATAAAAAATCTTACTTAAATTACACAAATAAATAAATATCATACATCCATAATTATCCCAGAGGCCATCAATCCCCAAACCTCCCCTAATGAGTAGATAATCATTAGGTAATGCAATAAACTTTTGTTGTTGTACACTTTAAAATTATTTATGTAAAATTATAACTAGACATCTATATGAAAAATGTTCTGGTTGATTTATAGGCATAGTTTACCAAGATGCTTTCTAGCTGTAGTCTTTTTTAAGCAATATTTTGATAGTTTTACATCGCCTAGCACATGGTCTACTTAAATACACGGTCTTCTATTCTGCTTAAATCGAAAAAAAATAGAAAGCCAGTTGAAAAAAGTATATTCCATCAAATGGATAAACCTTCTCAAAATATTTTAGTTATTGTGCTGTCTGGCGCTGGATAAAGGTTTTGGCGTTGGATTAATAGCCATCTTTATTAAACTTCACCAAACTTTGTAATGTTATTTGTGGCTACTTATTTTGTTATTAGTTATAAAAATGGTTAATAAATAATGTGTTGTTTGTTTTAACTCTTATTATCATGGCGGTGAAGTAGTCCCAATTTTTAGTTTTCCAAAAGATTTGAAAAAGTTGTGAATTAGAATAAGTAAACAGAAATTCCTTGACTGTCATTTAGAGATCTGTTTAAAACATTTTGATGAAATTTTAATACACAAAGGAGCATCGCCAAAAAGATTTGGTTTGTTATATAATTTGAAGCCTGTTCCTACAATGTACCCGGCTAGCATAGCAACAGCTTCACTTTCAGTCATGTCTTTACCATGGAAATTACCAACTAAAAATTTTTTTCGAGAAGAGATATCAGAATTTTTTATCGATTGATGTTATTAAAGATCTTAATTCTGTTACAATTGCTGATTCACTAACAGGATATTCATTTTCTAAATTTGATGATTGTGTCATGTTCTATAAAATTATTCAAAATGAACTACACATACCTGAAGTTGCTGAATGCATTCATATTAATAAAAATCTCTATGTCAAATTTTTTTATAAATAAGCACCTAAAATAAATAATAAAGTTGTCCATTCTGGAAACTATAAGAAAAATGTCACTGTTGCTTTAGGTATCTATGAAACTACAGCAGCAGCAAGTAAACCATTATTTTGTGATTGTTTAGATAATAATACTTATAATAAATAAAGATACTTTTCATTAAAAGGTGGACATTTATAAGTTAAAAAAATCAGTTTTCTAATAACCGTCTTGAAAATGCTGCCATTATTAATGATAAAAACTTTTTCAAGCATTTGCTGACCAGATAAATAAACAGAAAAACACTAAAATTGCAAATTTTAAGAAATGTACTATTGATGTACATCTCCTTGATAATGTACATCAATAGTAATACAAAGAACTTAATTATGTCAAGCTTCATTAATAGAAGATCTGTAGGAAGATAATTATAAATTTATATTGACTTTTTAAAGTGATCAGTTAAAAAGAATATTGGGACAATACTGCCAAATGAGTGGTAGCAGGTTCCTTGTCAGTTTGAAAGACATTTATAGTAAGAAGATAATTCAAATAAAAAGTTTAATAAAGGGAGGAATTCAAATTTTTGAAAATGAAATTAATGCTGTTGAAGGTACACAACATGTTAGATCCTTGATGGATCAGATTAAAGAAAGAGATTTAGATTGTGTGATTTAATCAGATAATTTTCGTTAAGTTGTCCGTTATATTGCTGGTTTTATTGCTAAAAACTAATTATAGTGTTTAAAGTATGTTCCAAATTGCTTTGTACTCAAAATTCTAAACAGGTGACAAATGATTATAATTATCTAAACAAATTGTCCAGAAGTGGGCTAACAACTCCATCATTACCGCTTTTAGAATATGTCTGTGACAGTTTTGCTATGCTAGATCATGTATTTGATATTATTGTCAGTCTCAAATGCAACACCATAAATCAGCAAAGTTAGTTTATGGAAAAGAAATTATACACACTGTTATTTCAATTATTTGTTTTAATAACACCAGAAAGAGAGTCAGTGATTCCATTGTTGCAGATAACATTGTTGCCTTTATAAAAAGATATTTTGTTTTACAATTTTGTTTAACCTTATAATTATAAAGTTTATAAATGTTGTGTTGTTTTCTATAAAAACAGCATTACTATTTTTATTACTAAAAATAAGCCTCGATTAAGTATATAAAGTTTAGTGAAGTTAAGTAGATATTTCGATTTACCTAACTCAAAAATTTTATCCAATGTCAGATTTACTTAAAATTTATAGCGCAATAATTAAAATATTTTGAGAAAGTTTGTCCATCCGACAGAATATGAGTTTTTTTAACTGGCTTTTTTATTTTTTTTCAATTTAAGCAGAATAGAAGACCGTGTATTTAAGCAGGCCATGCCTAGCATATGATTACATAAATTTTTTCCACTTCATTTTCTTTTTATTCTAATAGTAATTTTAATCTGATAGTAACTGGAAATTTTAAACCGTGTTTAAAATCATAACTTTTTAGTTGTAAAATTGGCTTACACACTCGCGGAAAGTGTGGAATTTTCCTCCACACTGGTGTGTGGCTATCACTCCTATACAAAAGTGTGGAGTTATTTTGCACACTTTTGTGAAAATAACTCCACACTTTCCGCGAGAGTGTATCACGAAGTAAAATTTTTTTATTGAGTTTATTTAAATTGTATTTAAAGAAAATCGACAATCTTGCGGCAAAACTTCCATTGCATTGGATGAATGCAATCGTTTATGCGATTGTATCGATTCTATGATGGTAAATTGCAAACGTGTACGTAAAGAGTTTTCTTCTATGCCAAAAGAAGAAAGAAATTTGTATTTAAACGTGTTAAAAGAACTTTCTACAAATCGTAAATACTTCAAGATCTATCAGCAATTTATTGATTTGCATAGCAAATATTTTGATTCCGGAATTCATGAAGATGGACAGTTTTGCCCATGGCATAGAAGGTATATACCAAGAATTATAAAGTTATTTTAATTTGTAAACATATGGGGAAATGCGGGTAGTCTTGGTCAATTGAAAGAAAAGTAGGTTTATACTCATAACTTTACTAAAAAATATGCCAAATAATATACAAAAATATATTTAAGTACACTTATATACTCATACGAAAACCTCATACATAATTTCATTTCTTTTTTAAACTTAGACTCATACTTTAGGCACATAATAAAAACACAAACTTTAGGCAAATAACAAAAGCACATACTTCAGACTCATACATCAGTTTATTTTAGAAAATAAATTACATTTTTAATAAGTTACTTAAAGTATGGATAGAAACCTGACTAGAAAGTTTGATGTTAGACTCATGCATTATTAAAAGATGCATAGCCACATTCAATTTATGGGATGACATAATTATGGGTCTTGTAAAACTATGATGTTTATACCATTGTGATAGCCACATTAAGCTCATATGTGGTTATAATAATTATACCACTTAGGTATTATAAATACAATAACCATACGGAATCCACGTCTACTCCGTCTCATAAATCAGTGTCTATCGCATATAGCACACATAAACTTTAATATCGGAAAGTTTAAATTTTTTTTAGAGCTTCGCGTCTAAAACATTTGTTTATTTCTAAAGTCTAATGTGTAAGTTTAAGTGGTAATTTAAGGTGCTCTAAAAAGTCCTTACGGTCTTATCAAAGAGCACTACGGAAGAGCATTTAGCAAAGAAGTTTACGCCTCCTTTTTTACCAATGTATCTTTCCTATATATTAGAACTATTAAAAGTTTTTTTAACCTAAAAATAGACAAAGAAAATATTAATTTCTGTTGATGCGCAACTATGGGTAATTCAGTTTTGTGTCGTTTTCTCAAAATCAATTTACTTGGACTTTTGCAATTTACTCGGACTCGGCGCGATTTGCAAATGAGTTCCTTGTGTATCATTTTATAAAAAACATTAGACTGCCTCAAATTTCAAGTACTGAAGCTGCAACCATGTTCTTTAATATTTATTTTTATAGGATTGTGAAGTTGCTGAACTTAGTTCTACACCGTTTCATACGAATATTACAAATCCGTTATTGTAATAACATGGACTTTTTACTGTTAAAAACGATGAGGCGCCAATACAATATTCGATCGATAATTTATAATCCGACTCACAAATCAACTCAATGAACTAAGAAACCTGCTAACTGTTTAAAAATTATAAACTCAGACCACTTTAATGATCAATATTATTAATTACAGGCAATGGCGCATTAGGACTTCTTGGGGCCCGGGGCTATTTTTGAAGACCTTTTTATGGGCCAGAGCCTTAAAATAACTATAATTTTTTAGGCGTTTTAGGGCCTAATTAATTTTTTTTCTCGAACATCAGTTCTTTGGAATTCGCTCCCTTCATCTCGTTTTCCTAATTCATATAATTTGCAATCGTTAAAGCCGTCTATTATTCGCTATCTTGCTTTATAAACTTCTAACAATCTTTTATTTTCCGGTCATTCTAATAGCGGTGGTTTGCAGTCTTGTTGGAAGTAAAGGTTTAAAAAAAAATTTGCTTTAGAAACAGCTCGTTATAGAAAAAACTTTCAGGTTTGCCAATAAGAATTCTGATAGTAATATGCATTAAAAAATAGTTTACCCTTACTTGTAAATTTAATTTACTTTTAATGGTAAGTTGTGTAAAGTAATTTACTTTGAAATGTAATTTATTTTTTATATGTATAAGAAAAAGTTTTATGAAATAATTTTACGTAAATTTAAGAAACATAACATTTACTTTAAAGTAAAATACTTTATGTTTTAAAGTAACTGATAAGCAAAGGCAACTTACATAAAATTACAATTTTTTTGTTGATATTGTATATTTTGTAAGTAAGCAGAGTGTAAGCTATTTTTTCAACTTAAATCATTTCAATTTACAGTCATTTCATTTCAATTTAACATAAATTTTGAGTAGTTTGTCGGCACTTTTGCGTATTACTTCAGGTATTATTCTGGTGTATGCGGGCATTGTTTGTAGTGGGGCATTGTGAAAGTAATCTTTTTCAAGTATATCATGAATGGTGATTCTAATAAAATTGGGGCAAATATAGTCAACATGCGTTACTGGTAGTAGCGTAGAAACGGATCCCCAGCTGCGTGAGAGCCATAGTGCTAATAGGGGCTAATATAAAAATAATATTAGGGCCTAAATAATCATTTATTTTTGTTATTTTTTATTGATTATTTTTTGTTGAGCAGAAATAGGTTGGTAGCCGTATTAAAACATTGACTGGGAAAGGGGCCTAATTCCATGCTACGTTACTAATGCATGCAATTCTTGACTAAGTCACTGTTCCGTTAGAGCGCACTTTTTATGCAATTTTTTTTCTTTGTATTTCCCTTTTCGATCAAATATTTTGTTATGGTAATATGTCGCAATATAACATATTTGATATCCGTGGGCACATTGGCTGTTAAATTAGTTTTCAAAAAATTATAACATAATTTTTTGAAGACTGTGTAGTAAATGTCCCCGTGGATACCAAGCATGTTATACTACGTCACATTACCAAAATAAAATATTTGACCGAAAAGGAAAATACAAAGAAAAAAACTGATGAAAAAGCGCGTTCTAACGAATTAGTGACTTAGTCAAGGATTGCATGCATGGATAGCAACCTAGCTAGAAATTAACCTTGCTAAAAATTAGCCTCCTGAGACTTTTTTTTTTTTTAATTATCTTTACTTCCAATAAGACTGCAACCAACCACTATTAGAGTCACTGAAAAAGAAAAGATTATTAGATTATTAAGTTTATAAAGCTTCTACTATAGATTGTGGGCTGCCTAATAATTTTCTTTTTATAGCGTTGGCGTCAAACCCGCCCAAAGAAAATTAGAAAATTCTTTTTTAATCATAGTAGTGTTTAAGAACAAACTTGTAATTTTTTTCAACCGTTTATTTGACTTCACCACTTGTTTGTCGGTTATTAATTGAATTTTGCTATTGATTTTTCACTACCTACTAGACTAGGTTGAGCTCTGAAACTTTTAGCATTTGTGTAAATTTGATAAACATGTTAAAAGTGTTTTCAGAGCCAACTCCACTTTTTTGAAACTTGCGATTGATTTTACGTTATTTTCTAGATTTGCTACAACGCTTTTTAGAAAGAAAGACTTTTTACAAGATAGCTTTAAAAAGGCATTTTTTTGATTTACTTTTTTGATTATTTTTTTTTTTTGTAGGGAGGAAATAGGTTAGTGGCCAGATAAAAATTTACTGTAAAGGAGTTGGACATACTTGTAGGTATGCTGCTCAACCTGGTTGTTGTTAAAAACCTCTCTAACTAAAATGAAATTTAATTTTTTTGTTTGTTTATTTATTAAGAACTATTTATGAAACTTTTGTCTTGAACTAACTAATTTCAATTAGTCCTTTCCAGATTATAATTATTCCAGTCTTTTCTAAAAATAACTTTTATTTTGATTAGAGTGGTTTTTAACAACAAAGCAAAAATACAAAATTTATAAAATGCAGAGCCTTTTGCAAAGCAAGAACAATAAACCAAACAGAGTTTTATAACAAATTAAAAACTAAATTTTCACACTTCTAAATAACTGATGTAAATAGCATCAAAATTAATTTTTTCAAAACAAAAAAAAAAGTGTTAAAAAAAATTATCATAAAAAAATGGATAACTTTTGATTCCAATCACATATTTAAAATCAGGTCCGGAGCAAACTTTTTGTTTTTGTTTGAGAATTTAACTTTACGACACGGAGCAAATTTTTATATAAAATAAAAGCTTTGCAAAAATATTGCGGTAGTCGGAGTTTGTTAACAATTAAACCCTTAAATATTTACCTCACCTCCCTTATAAAACATTTTAAACTAAATTTAAGTAAGATAAGTCGCGACGTTAGAACTATCTTGTTTTATATCCATTTTTTGAAAAAAAACTTATATACTTACAGAAAAATCTTATTCTGAAATAACTTACCAAAGCAAGAGAAATATTGAATAAATAACTTACCAAAACAAGAGAAATATTGAATAAATAACAGAAATTTCGAATAATCTTATTTTTTAAACATATAAAAATAACGGTGTTATTAAAAATATTATCCATGAAAATATAAATTAAACAAAATAAACTATATAAATTTTAAATTGATTTAAATACGAGCGGTTTGCGTTCGAATTGGCATAATTACGAACTGGCATAAGTGCAAAATTAGTATATCGCACTAATGCCAATTCGCACTTATGCCAGTTTGCACTTATGCCAATGTTTTGCAAATTTATTTGGCGCACTTATACCAATTCGCACTTATGCCAATGTTTGTAAATTTATTCCAAACATTGGAATAAATTTACAAACATTGTCAATTTATTCCAAGGTTTTGGTGCACTTATGCCAATTCGCACATATGCCAGTACGCACTTATGCCAGTTTTTGCAACGCCGCGCACTTATGCCAGTTTGCGCATATGCCAATTCGCGCTTATGCCAGCTCGCGCTTACACCATTCGCATTTATGCTAGTTCGGCGGTTCCTTTCATCAACAAACCTTATAATGCTATCAAGCTAATTTTTGTTTTATTTTGTGGCTTATTCCGAACTCTATGCAACTGTATCAGTAACTCCATTTCTAAGACTTGGTACTTTTTCCTGTAAAGCGCCTCATATATTGTGGTATAAGCAAGAATATACTTATCCCTACAGACATTTGTTTTTAAAAGTTACGTTCTAAATGTCTTTTAAACAATTTATAAACGTCTTTTAAACGTTCTTTAAGAAAGATCGTTTAGAAAACGTTTAAAAGACATTTAAAATACATTTGGAAATTACATTTTCGGTAAAGACGGTAAATGTTTTAGAGTATTTTTGTTTCCACAATCTATTTATAAATTGTTGCTACGCTACAGCTGGTTATACGTTATTATACAGTGCGCAGCAAAGTATTTTTGGTCAGTAGGCATTCGTGGCTAAAATACCCAAT